ATCTTCTTGACGTATCAGCATATCACAGACCCTGGTTCTTGCGTCCAGCTTGACCCAACTTGAAGCCCTGTTACATTTTTCAGGGATTTTTTGTTTGTTTGTTCTTAAGGTGCCTGGCTTCCTGCCATATGAGACAACCACCTTGCTCCTCCCCCCAAACATGCTGGTCCCCTTTCTCCTCCCTCCCTCGTCTCATGCCATGCCATGCCATGCCCACTCACTTTACCCCCCAAATTAGCCAAACCCTGTTCTATCCTCATCACTCCAAGTGGAGAGATTCTGCCCTTTTTTCTGTTCTATCTGCCACAGCTGTGAATGTTAAATTGCCCCACTGGAGGGGTCACCAGGAGCTGAACTCAGGTCTGCTTTTAAAAGACAGAATTAAGAATTAATTCGTAACATTAATTCTACTCTACTGCAAACATTACTCAGGAGGCTGTTGTGCAGTTACAATTGTTTCTAGTGGAATTATTGTACCATTGTTTTGTAGTTTTCACTAAAGTCACTTGGTAAATTTATCATTACTGCACTCAGAAAATTCTGGATTCGTCAGGAGGAGCTACAAAATAAAACAGTGTTGTATAGGCAGCCAAATGAGCTTAACCCACACAAGCAACAATAAGCATGCCCGTGTAAGGTGCAATATACATCATGGGTCACACATTTCTTTAAAAGAAAAAAACTGTGGATGGAAGAAATGACTAAAAAGGATATTTTTAGCCTCTAGGTAAAGAGAAGGAATTTGTAACTATACACCAATTTTTGCCCTCAATTGTATCCATGGAATGCAAGTAAATTCTGCCAAAGGAGAGGTTGGAATTTGGCCCTCCACCATCTATTTCTCCCATTTACTGATCAGCTTTCACTACATACCTGGAGCCAGCCTTTGGCTCCAGGCTCTACATATGGGTAGTCTGAAGAACCTGGTTACACATGTTTTAATAGTCAGCTCTTGTAATAAAAATGCATAGTTCATTCTGCATGCAATAAAATTCAAACTAAGGATTAGATAGATATTATTTATACTAAGCTTTTATACAGCAAATTTCCTACACTGATATTAAAGTATGTTACACAGAGATCTCAGCTTTATCTCTGTGAAGCAAATATCCCCACTTAACAAGTAGGGACAATGAAGCAAAGGTTGAGAGACTTCACTAATGTTATGCACTAGTTGGATGAATTAGGAACAGAAGCTAGAGCAGAGGTGGGCAAACTACGGCCCGCGGGACCGTTCTCCCCGGCCCCTGAGCTCCAGGCCCGGGAGCTAGCCCCTGGCCCCTCCCCTGCTGTTCCCCCTTCCCCACAGCCTCAGCTCACTGCGCCCGCTCTGGGCGGGGCAGCACAGCTACAGAGCCTGGCCTGACCCGGTGCTCTGTGCTGCGCGGTGCATGGCTGGCTCCAGCCGGGCGGTGCAGCTGCCTGTCCTGGTGCAGCCGCACCGCCAACCACTGGTGCTCCAGGCAGCGTGGTAAGGGGGCAGGGAGCGGGGGAGGGGGTTGGATAGAGGGCAGGGGAGTTCGGGGGTTGGTCAGGGGCCGGGGGTGTGGATAGGGGTCGGGGCGGTCAGAGGACGGGGAACAGGGGAGTTGAATGGGGGCAGGGGTTCTGGGGGCGGTCAGGGAGAAGGGGTGGTTGGATCGGGCAGAGGTCGGGGGGGGCAGTCAGGAAGGAGAGGAGGGGTTGTATGGGGTGGCAGGAGGCAGTCAGCGGCAGGGGTTTTGGGGGCGGTCAGGAAGGAGGGGGGTGTTGGATGGAGCTGTGGGGGGCAGTTAGGGGCAGGGGGTCCGGGCGCAGTCAGGGAGAAGGGGTGGTTGGATGGGGCAGCGGTCCCGGGAGGGACAGTCAGGAAGGAGGGGGGGTTGGATGGGGCGGCGGGGGGCAGTTAGGGGCGAGGGGTCCGGGGGTGGTCAGGGGACAGGGAGTGGGGGGGTGTGGATGGGGCAGGGGTCCGGGGGGGCCGTCAGGGGTGAGAAGCAGGGAGGTCGGATAGGGGGCGGGGCCAGGCCATGCCTGGCTGTTTGGGGAGGCACAGCCTCCCCTAACCGGCCCTCCATACAATTTCTGACACCCGATGCGGTCCCCAGGCCAAAAAGTTGGCCCCTGAGCTAGAGGGACCAATTTCCAGTCCCCCATTGAAACCACACTGCCTCACTGTGACTGAAAGTGATACTGTCATTTTTGTAAGGCTAAAAAAAAGTTACTTAGCTTGCAGTGATAACATCTGGAAGGTTTTAACATAAGGACTCTAACAATGTACATATTTTCTTAACTGATCCATGCTGCCTAAGCAGATCTCTCAGGGCATGTGCATTGCGTTAAGCACGAGAAAGTGCACACACATTCACTAACTGATTGGTCCTTAACTGTTATAAATGCCTCCATCAAAACCCTCTACAGTAAATAAAATGAGTGCATTGAGTCTTAGTTATTCAGCATGGCAGCTGTGTGAATTTTACTGCTTTACTGCATGTAGCTAAGGAACAGATTAGTTTTTTCCTTTCTCTTCATAAAAGAGGTTAAATGCCCTTCTGACTACTGATGCTACAAAGTGTTCTCGTCCAAGGTAGGTTTAAATGCTAAAAATAAAAAAAATCTCCTCGCGGGTGGTTTAATATATGCTACAACAATGCCTTCTGACCTTCTAATGTCTGTAATACACTCTTGTCAATATAAAACAGCATCTGTAGCCACTCTCTCCAGCTCTGTCCTCTCATGGGCCCGGGAATTAGGTTTTTCTGAATACTGAGCATGCAAAATATAAAATAAACATGCAGAACATACATACTACTATGCATTTTATCCCACTGAGAATTACAAAATATATAGTAGGTGTATGTTTGATTAAGCTTGTGGCAATTTTGGAAGATTTTTAGAGGACTTTTATATACCGTATAAAGTTTTTCCAAAAAGTTTCATTTCAGTAGGTTTTCATTTATTAGCTACAAGGAAATGGAGCAAAGCCTCTTGAGAGAGCTGTTTATGTTTTGATAGCTATTTGAAGTCTGCTAAGTTGCAATTTACCAGTTTGCTGTTGGTAGTATCTGTTTTCAGTCTAACAGAGAAGAGAAGAGGTCATCAACTGCCTTGTAATTACTATGAAATTAGAAGGTAATATCATTATCGGCTGCTTTAATGTCTATGGGCATTTGCTATCTGACTAGTGTCGTCATTTGTTTACCATGGATTCTTCTAATGTTGTTTAGGAAATCCTATTACTCATGACTTAGGCACTGCAGGGGGCTCTACAATATAAATACACTGCCAGCCATGCAAACCTTTTGGCTTGGCTGAGGCTGCAAAAAGAGCATTCCATTCAATCATAAGAAGCAACTGTAGCAGTAAAAGACACTTCTTCAAACAGCATCCTGCTCAGCTAGTGATATCTCTCCAGCAGCTATTTCCCAGTCTTCCTTTGTTTCATCCCTAACATCCCTATCCGCTTGTATTTGTTAGAAGAATCAATTCTTATAACAGCACCCATAGGAACATCTGCCTAGTTCATTAGATGTGCGTGCCTACTGCAAACACAGGGTGCATAAGCTTCTCTGGACAGCACTATCTTGCCAATTCTAGTAACTGATCCAGATGTTTGTTCCAGATAGTGCCCTGTCAGTCCTCTTCTAGCTTTTATTCCCCCAAGATGCAAATATTGATCTCAATTACTCAATATGGGAGGGAGAGTTTGATATTTAGTACAGCTCTTGACCTGTCAGATTCAACACGAGCAGAACAAGTCTCCTAGGTCTGTAAAATTGTTAACATAGAATAATAGACTATAAGGTCAGAAGGGACCATTATCATCATCTAGTCTGACCTCCTGCACAATGCAGGCCACAGAATCTCACCCACCCATTCCTGTATCAAACCCCTAACCTATGTCTGAGCTACTGAAGTCCTCAAATCGTGGTTTAAAGACTTCAAGGTGCAGAGAATCCTCCAGCAAGTGACCCGTGCCCCAAGCTGCAGAGGAAGGCGAAAAACCCCCAGGGCCTCTGCCAATCTGCCCCGGAGGAAAATTCCTTCCCGACCCCAAATATGGCGATCAGCTAAACCCTGAGCATGTGGGCAAGACTCACCAGCCAGACACCCAGGAAAGAATTCTCTGTAGTAACTCAGATCCCACCCCACCTAACATCCCATCACAGGCCATTGGGCATATTTACCGCTAATAGTCAAAGATCAATTAATTACCAAAATTAAGCTATCCCATCATATTGCAGACTACAGATTTTATTTTAACATACCCCCATGCACAACTTTATTTGTCTGGCAGTAGAAAAAAGGCCAATCTTCTAAGGTGTTAGAGAGACTTGGCTGGTAGTAAAGAGGTACAATTTATCATGAGGGAAGAGTGACATTTTCATGCGCTCAGTTTTCTACAGTCAGTAGCTGTGCCAATGGTGACCTTAGTCTGAGATTATCATCATTCTTAAAAAGACAGGTGTAATCCACACAAGGTCAATACCACAGTCATACAGCTTGGTTTACTTTACTGCAAGGATGATTAACTAATGTCCCATCAGTACTAATTTTGCGAGAGCTATAAACCATAGAGAGAGGCGTCTCCTCTATACTTACAAGATGGTTTTCTAACCAATTGCAAGAAAAAGCAACAACGTTTATATTATAAACAAAAAATATCCAACCCTAGTTACAAATCAATCACTTATGCTCCAGTTATAATTACACTGGCTCATGAGGAACAAATCATAGAATCATAGAATATCAGGGTTGGAAGGGACCTCAGGAGGTCATCTAGTCCAACCCCCTGCTCAGAGCAGGACCAATCCCCAGATACATTGCTGCTGCACAGTCCCTGCATTTTTAGACCATTTTTATCCACAATCTTAGTCCCAGTACCATTTAACCATCAGAGGCCCAACTAGGGCTATTAGTATTTCAGCTAACAGAAGATTCACTAGTAATTCCAGGGCCTTGGAGCCTAATCTGAGGGAGGTAGAGAAGATCAAAACACCCACTGAAAACTTTACACGTACCTCCTTCTGCTGCCTCTCAAGTTCTTTCATTCGGATCTCTCGTGCTTCTGCTCGTGCTGCTCGCTTTGCTGCGAGCCTTGCTTCAGCCTGTGAAGAGAAGTATAATCAAACAATGTAATAGATGCCAGACAATTTAACTTGAAGCACTAACTTGAAGCATGAAATAAAGGAGATGACGCAATAAGACTTTACTTGTAGTGGCAAATGAGTTCTTACAGATGTATGTAATGGCCCTACCTTCCATAACAACATGTTATGCTACACAGGTAGATAACATCTTCATGCAGACATTTTACCTATAGTTATCACTTGTATTCAAAAGTTTTTCTGTGCTGTCATTTAAAGAAAAGACTATTGTATTTGTATGAATATGTATAGAGGAAACATTTATATTAACAAAAGATGGTAACTGGGCTCTGTCAAAATTTGTATGTTTATTTTTGAACACTTAAGTAACAGGCTCTGAAGAAAGAGAGGCATAATATTATACATTTACTATTTTATGCTGGTCATACTTATCTTTATCCCCATAATTAGATAACATGTTCACTGTCAAAAAGCATCATACATCTGTTTTCTCTTAATCTGATGTATGCACGTGCATACATGAGCACCGCAGTTGACTAAGCATGATCTGCATGTGTGCATGCTGCACAATGGAGACTAAAATTATTGAAGGGCATTGGTAAACCTAAGAAAATTTACTTCAGCTTGGTTAGATTAAAATATCCAAATGTTCTATTCATATCCAAAACCTCCGGTCTGGAAATCTGTGAAGCACAGGCCTTGTGAGATTTCTAGCACTTCATTTCAGCAGATTTGGAAATGACAAAATACCCTCTAGAGTGACATTTGTTATTCTTATAATCCCAGACAAAAACTGGAAGGAGAAAGTCGAGTGAAGAAAGTCTACAATCAGCTCAGTTAGCTTTTCAAACCTCAGAAGGGACAAAAGCGCCACTCAATTTTTCCCTTAAGATTTGAGAATTTTTCCCTGAAGATTTGAGTGGTTCATCCAGCCTTAGTTAGAATCTGGCCCAGAGTAGAAAAAGTGAAAGTGATGCTCTAAATCATGGTCACTACACATTTACACACAACTGCCCTCAACTTTTCACCCCACTAGAATCTCCAGCTAGACGCTGTGAGGACAAGTAAAGTGCTCTGATAGTGAGAATTCCAGCTTTCACCAGAATTCCTATACTATAGGGAAGCGTCAATCCCCCTTAGGAAGTATACCCACCATTCAAAATAGAAGAGAAAGAGGCTCCCGACAAAACGATAAGAAGAAAGGTTCACATTAAGGTATTACCTGAGAATTAAGCAAAGCTTACCTCTAACTGAAATTATTTTTGGCAAAAGTAGCCACTTAACTGATCCATACCAGCTAATGAGTTCAAGCAATTGCATCTAAGGGTACATCCAGACTACCCGCCGTATCGGCAGGTAGCGATCGATTTATTGGGGATCGATATATCGCGTCTCGTTAAGACGCGATATATCGATCCCCAAACGCGCTCCCCGTCGACTTCGGAACTCCACCGGAACGAGCGGCGGTAGCGGAGTCGACGGGAGAGCCGCGGCCGTCGTTCCCGCGCCGTGAGGACGGGAGGTAAGTTGTAATAAGATATGTCGACTTCAGCTACGGTATTCCCGTAGCTGAAGTTGCGTATCTTACATCGACACCCCCTGCAGTGTAGACCAGGCCTAAGTGTCAGTAAAATCTAGAACAGACTGCATAAACTTCACAGAAATACACAGAAAAAAGTTCAATCAAGCGTAAGGACTTTTATTATGTGTCTTATTAGCAAACTCCTTTCCTCCATTTTTGAGGAAGTAAACCATCTCAATTTCACAGCATTACATCCATTATCACTCACATAGTGGGAATTGAAACTTGAGTTCGGTACATTTAACTGAATAGAGTTGGTATCTTTATTTCTTCACAATACAGCCACCTTACTTCATATCACTACTGTAAATATTAACTTTTCTTAGGAGCAGTAATTGGTTTTAATGTCCCTTTTTTCCCCACCCCACACCTCCCGCCACACACACACACACACACACACACACCACGAAAGGCAAATTAGATATTTCTCTCATGGAAGATTACTGTCCTTTTTTAATTAAGGTATTTGAGTTCTAAGATAACGTCTAGCTTTGCCATGGAAGAATAAAGTGCAAATATACCTGTTGAAAAACTGTATGTACAGCAAGTCACTTAAGCTGTCTCCAAAAGTGTCTCAGACCTTTGTAGTCCCAGAATGTTAAGGTTATGTATGGCGCTCAGCACTCGACATACATAATATGCATGCCCCTAGAACCTGCAGTCTAACAACATGGGCCTGGTACTGTTCAAACATGAGTCATAGTCCCAGTTCTAAACAGTTTAGATCTATTAACTTCAGTGGTTGAGCAGAGACCTCTAAGATACTCACTGCATACATTTCAAAGGGCATAGATGCTTTGGAACAGGTAATATGCATAATCCGTATGCTCTTTGGAGATGCCTTTTTTACCCTTCAGCCCTTGAAGCAGCATTAAAATATATTTGATCACAAATACACTGTACTGCCCCTACATTAGTCAATTTTATTTCACTGACTATAAATTTACAAATGTTAAAATGCTTAAAGGTGTTGCAGGACATCTGTTATTTTATGTCCCACCCAGGTGGAGATTGTAATGCTAGGTTATATTTAGAAAATTAGATCATTCTGCAATATTCAGCACTAGTGACTGTTAAATGACTCATGGGTATCGAGTACTTTGACAATTACCTTTCGCAATTACCTGCCCAGTCAAGGTAGTAAGGTTTCACTGTATATACAGAACTCTGGAAAGAGTGGAAAAGTGCGTCCTTAAAACTCTGACTTTCCAGGGCACTGTATTTAGAATGTTTGTGTTTCTTGTTAACTTTCTAGCATTGCTTCTGGTTTGATCTATGTAGAGGAGAGGGAGAATTCACACTGAGATGCAAACGGTAAAGCCTTCTTATAAGCAACACTGAACCACAGGAAAAAAAACTGACAATTCTAGTTTCACAACTCTGCTGCAGTTGCCAAAGTTTGTCAAGAAGTACCCACTCTGGTGAACGTCTGATTATCAGCAATGCAATTTGTTAAGTTACAGTATTATACTGTAGCTAGTGGTGCTTTGCTCTATCCAATATGCATTAATTTATTTAAAATATATTGCCTACATTTATTAACGTGCCCTTGGGACTCTGAAACAGAGGAAAGAGAGAAATTCAGTCTCCCGGGGAACTGGTCATAACCTGCACCACTCAGAATAGCTTGTTAGGGGACTTTCTTTAAAGGGAATGTCTCCCCCACCCCCTCAGCCATTGGGATAAGTATGGATTTGGTATAGAGTATATACAGCTGCTTTACCTGGCAGCCAGAGACTAAAATGTCAAGTGATTAAAATTACTGATTGAAGCCAATGCTTTCCTGGAAAGATTTTTAAATCAGTATTTTTATCACTTGACATTTTAGTCTTTGGCTGCCAGGTAAACCAGCTGCATATCTTAAAAATACACCTCTACCTCGATATAACACGACCCGATATAACACGAAAGCGGGGGGGCGGGGCTGCGCGCTCCGGTGGATCAAAGCAAGTTCGATATAACGCGGTTTCACCTATAACACGGTAAGATTTTTTGGCTCCCGAGGACAGCGTTATATCAGGGTAGAGGTGTATTGATTTTAAAAATCTTTCCAGGAAAGCATTGGCTTCAATCAATAAATAATTTTAAAGACTAATGTATTGTATTCGAGACACACGGTTGGTGAGGTAATATCTTTTATTGGACCATCTTGTCTCTCTCACCAACTGAAGTTGGTGCAATAAAAGATATTACCTCACTCACCTTGTGTCTCTGGCCAGGTCTACACTATAAACTTACATTGGTATAATTATGTCACTCAGGGGTGTGAAAAGTCCACACTCCTGAGCGATACTGTTATACTGACCTAACCTCTGCTGTAGACAGCACTATGTTATAGCTGTCTGTGTCCATCTACAGCACTATGTTATATGGTGGCTAATATGAGGGGGAAAGGAATCCAGGAGAGCTGGCTGTATTTTAAAGAAGCCTTATTGAGGGCGCAGGAACAAACCATCCCGATGTGCAGAAAGAATAGCAAATATGGCAGGGCACCAGCTTGGCTTAACAGAGAAATCTTTGACGAGCTTAAACACAAAAAGGAACCTTACAAGAAGTGGAAACTTGGACAGATCACTAGGGAGGAGTATAAAAATAAATCAGGAAGGCCAAAGCACAACTGGAGTTGCGGCTAGCAAGCGATGTGAAGGATAACAAGAAGGGTATCTACAGATATGTTAGCAACAAGAATAAGGGTCCCACACTTTCCCTGACCTTCCTGAATGGGGGAGGCAACCTAGTGACAGATGATGTGGAAAAAGCTGAAGTACTCAATGCTTTTTTTTCTCCTCGGTCTTCACAGACAAGGTCAGCTCCCAGACTGCTGCACTGGACAGCACAGTATGAGGAGGAGGTGAGCAGCCCTCAGTGGTGAAAGAACAGATTAAGGACTATTTAGAAAAGCTGGACATGCACAAGTTTATGAGGCCGGATGCAATGCATCCGAGGGTGCTGAGGGAGTTGGCTGATGTGATTGCAGAGCCATTGGCCATTATCTTTGAAAACTCGTGGTGATCGGGGGACGTCCCGGACGACTGGAAAAAGGCAAATATACTGCCCATCTTTAAAAAAAGGGAAGGAGAAACTGGGGAACTACAGCCTCACCTCAGTCCCCAGAAAAATCATGGAGCAGGTCCTCAAGGAATCCATTTTGAAGCACTTGGAGGAGAGGAAGGTGATCAGGAACAGTCAACATGGATTCACCAAGGGCAAGTCATGCCTGACCAATCTGATTACCTTCAGATAACTGGTTCTGTGGATATGGGGAAAGTGGTGGACATGATACACCTTGACTTTAGCGAAGCTTTTGATATGGTCTCCCACAGTATTCTTGCCAGCAAGTTAAAAAACTATGGATTGGATGAATGGACTATAAGGTGAATAGAAAGCTGGCTAGATCGGGATCAACGCATAGCGATCA